TTCAGATGGCAAAATATTACCACTTCTATTATCATTAATTTATTAACCTGTTGAGCATAAAAAAGTAACTTAGAGAAAAAATTATGTACAGGGGATAAATGGGTCCTGAGTATGAAATCACCCTACCATGCAAAACACTTTTTTGCAAAAAGCAAACTAGCAATGCTTTGAAAACATCAGCTCACATCAAGTTAGTACAAATTCAAAGAAAGAACTCAGAGCCTATAGCAGGGGTGAAATGTAAAATTTGTTACTACCGGTTCTGTGGGCGTGGCTTGGTGGTGGTGGTGTAATGTGACTGGGTGGGCGTGGCCAACTTTTTTTTTTTAACTTTTCAAAGCATTTTTTCTGCAAATGCAAAAAAATGCTTTGAAAAGCCTCTGCTGATCAGACAACACAGCTGGGATCGTCAGAGCCTTTTCAAAGCATTTTTTAAAAAGCCTCTCTGACGATCCCAGCTGAGTTGTCTGATCGTCAGATATTTTTTTAAAAGCCTATCTGACAATTAGGCAACTCAGCTGGGATCGTCAGAGAGGCCTTTAAAGCATTTTTTTCTGCAACCTCTTCAGCGGAAGAGGTGGTTTAAAAAATGCTTTGAAAAGGCTCTGACGATCCCAGCTGAACCGCGCAATCAGCAGAGGCTTTTTAAAAAACTTTTAAAAGCATTTTTTCGCCGGAAAAAGTTGTAGAAAAAATGCTTTTAAAAGTAAAAAAAAGCCTCTGATGATTGTGTGGCTCAGCTGGGGAGGGGGGGGGGGGGGGCACAGGGATTTTTGCTACCAGTTCTCCGAACTACCCGCTGCCATCGCTACCAGATTGGGCGATCCGGTCCGAACCAGGAACATTTAACCCCTGGCCTATAGATAATATTTTGTCAATTCTGTTGTTTATTTTTCCTTATAGATCTCAAGGATGTCAACAGATCACATGGAATATTCAATCCTTATCCCTTTCAGATATTTAAATAGTCCAAAATGTGACTGATCTCAAGTTACGGTATACAATAAATGCCTTTTTGTAGGAATGATATGTTCCCCCATCTTATTCAATTCCCCAAGTCATACTTTCCACCGGATGTGATTATTTCAGGGCTTGTGAGTTGGCCACAGTATGGTCCAAAAGTGTACAACTGTTTTCCCCTAACAAAATCCGAAGTAGATTTTGACAATATGCCTCTTGTCCCAGTCACTGGTCAATGATTTAGTAGAGTACACACACTCGATCTATTAATTTGAATATGTAGGCAATTAGGACTTTCAAATGACTCATTCCTTTGCTGCCATTTTCTCCATTCTAACATCTGCTGGGCTTATTGCAGTAACATTGGGCCTGGTGGCTCAGCAGACTAAAAGCATTGTAATTAACACCAGCTGTCTGCAATTACTGTAAGTTCGAATCTCACCAGGCTCAAGGTTGACTCAGCCTTCCATCCTTCTAAGGTAGGTAAAATGAGGACCCAGTTTGTGGGGGCAATAAGCTGACTTTGTATAAATATACAAAAGTATGAAGGCTATTGCTTAACGCATTGTAAGCTGCCCTGAGTCTCTGGAGAAGGGCGGCATATAAATCAAATTAAAAAAAAAACATAAAATGTATTGGATTTAAAGGGCTTCAAAGAGTTTGTAATAATTTAGCACCTGTTGTTCAATAACTAATCACATTTTGTTGAATAAGTGGCTTTTCAGTGTATAATCAACACTGAACTGACAAAGCCAAGACAGGGCATCTAATGATTGTCTAGCTTTAACAGTGTAACAAGGAGGTTTATTTAGATTAAAGATAATGATACAAATATTAGAAAAACTGACTACCTGGCAGTTAAATTAAAACACAGGTAAAGCTTAGGTCACTCTTTTCCATTTGCAGAATCAAAATACAGATCAGAAATTAAATCTTAAGTAGAATGATTGAATCACTATCTAAACCTAGTAAAGAATGACCTCAGATCATCAAAAAGAAATGGATAAAGGAGGTCAGTGCCTTCTTTATCAGCGCCACTGGGAGTTTGGGAATAATGGAGCTCAAGGCATTGACTAATTGGACTGCCAGCATAACAGGTAGTCAGTTTTTCTAATTACTTGTATCACTGCCTTTAAATAAACCTTGTTACATTGTTAAAGCTACACAATCATCAAAGATAAATCTTTTTCTATTTGAATGTATTAATTGATCATTCACTTCAACATTAAAGAGGAATGGTGCCAGCACCTTTTCTTCTGATCAGCCATTCTACTAAATTTATGGATGGTTGGTTGTATTTGCCTCCAAGCTCTATACTAAAATGGCAGTTATGACTACATTTTTGGATGTTTTGTATTAGTTCAAAATGCTCTGTCAAACTGTACAACTTTCAAAGTAACATGTGATGATTAACAGGCAAGATATGCTGCCAAGAGATCAAAAACTGTATGCATGATTTGGCATAGGAGTGAGATTGGCTAAAAGCTCTTTGGACCTGAAGAGCCTTTGCCCAGTTTCAACAATGTTGCAACACTGATGTCTCCATGTCTTGCATATTTGTTTCAGATGCTTCTGAAACATTCTGGCAACTATTTTATGATGCCCAATCTAAGATATTTGCTCAATTTGCAGATAATTAAGGCCAGAAAAGTTCGTGGAATTTGCTACTTCTATCACTTAAAATGCTCATTTGATTCATAATTCTTGCCATTTTTCTGTATTCTATTTGGAGAGTTGCCATTTAGGGGCAAGTGGTGGTGTGTCAATTCATTTGGCTGTTATGCTATGATGTTGTTCCATCTTTTGGGGGTGTTTGTTCATCTTTCTAATTGTACCCCAAACTTTCTTCTTGTTGGTTATATCCATATTCTCAATTCCCATCAAATGCTAAATCATTTTTAATCAGCATGGCTGTAAGTTATCTCCTACAGAAGTACTATCTTCTGGTATCATATACTTTGAAATCATTATCATCTATAATGGGGTGAGCATAATGTAAGATCATGAGAATAACGGTGCTGCAGCCTCCTGAGAGCTAAAGTTTAATATTTTTCTGGGCCAGATCTTAGATCTATTATTGCTATGTCAAGACCAGTGGTGAAATATTTTCAGTTCTTTTTGAAACTAAACTGATATTGAGAAGTTCAAAAACTTTCGAGTCTTTATTGGATGAATCTAAACAGCAATAAAAATTCATATTGAGAATGGGGAACTGGGTCTAAAACACGTTACTGTTAACTGATGAAATATTACTGCTGACAAATTCAGATCATAGTGTTATCATACTGCTGACACAGATACCTCTGCAATAGTGGTGAATATCTGTAGCTTGTGTGTAGGATGAGGGTAAAGGTTTGTTCTCTGAGCTTGTGGGTTGGTTTCCGAATGTTTTGTTACCAGACTAGATAACATCTTCAGCAGAGTTTAGGGTATGTCAGTGTCAATATTCTGTTTATAAGGGCTTCAGGTGTGGCTGTATCAAGTGAGGGTCTTGTGACAAGACACACTGATGACTCATAGCTGACCCATCACAAGTCTGTCACAACACCTCACTTGACACACCCACACCTGAAGTCCTTATAAACAGAACACTGACACTGACATCCCCTAAACTCCACTGAAGATGTTAGTTAGCTGGTAACGAAATGTTCAGAAACCAACCCACAAGCTGGGAGAACGAACCTTTATCCTCACAGATACATCCGCTATGTGAGTAATTCTTGATTCTCAACTGTTGCTCAATTTACAAGTGGCAACTGTAGTGAGGAGAATTTTCCCTCAATTATGCCTGTTATGCAATAGCGTCCCTTTCTGTCTGTGACAGATATCACATTTGGCTTCATTTTATCTTGACTATTGCAATCCACTGTATATAGGCATACCCTTGAAAATGGTCTTAAAGTTGCAATTAGTACAAAGTGTGGTAACTAAATTGCTAATTGGTACAAGATACAGAGATCATATACTGAAAGGTCATTTGCTTCCTGAGCACCTCCTAAGAAGCTGATATTGACTTCTATTAATAACCTATTGGTCAGTAACATTGAGGCCAGGTCCTTCTGAAGAAGCCCTGCAGCCAGAGGCTTGAATTTCTAAAACAGGGGCAAAGATTTTTCTTTTTTTGCATTGTTCTCAATCTACATTCTATTGGGATACCTGGATACCAGTTTCTTGGCACTTAGGAATTCTGTAAATATGAACCTCTTCTGCCATACTTCTATATAATTGATTTAACTATACTTTTAATGCTAATTTTAACTTATTTTCATAAATTTTTATGTTCTGCTTTTTACTTTTAAAATTTTGGTAGCCAATTTGACCTTTTACCAGTAGAGAAAGTTGAGGTAAAACTATGTAATAAATAATATGCTTTATCTCCGTTTGCTTTGATTATTCCCCAAGGTCACTTCCCTCAGTTTATCTTTCTCTTCCCCCCCCACCCCACCCCATGTTGTTCAGCATTCATCAAATAAACTTTATATCATCTGGTGCTCATGTGGATCCTAGACCCATAAATAAGTATGGGGCTTGAACTTTATTTTCCAGTACACTAATCTCCCATTTTTAACTCTAAAACATTAAAAGATATGGTGCAGAAAGCCTGGAAAGCACCACCATTTGCATCAAGGTTATCTTCACAAATTGTTTAGTCTTTCAAAGCCCAAGGTAGCAAAACAAGACATGCCAGATAAAATTGAACTTCAGATTCCATCAGGCCTAGCAAATAAGGCCAACGGTGGGGCATGATTCACTCCAACATCATTTTGAAAGTGACACCCTGCTTTCTCTTGATTTAAGCAATATGTCCTCCTTAATAGTATGCAACAATTGTTGATTATTATATTTTGTCAGAAATATTTTTAAATTCAACATTTTGAGGTTGGTCTTCTTCAGATTTACTGTAACTTTGATCACAATAAAATTTTGTATTTTCCTTAATTTGGTAAACTCTATAAAATTATGTGTATTATGTTGAAGAGAAACAAGTCTAAAGCAATATATGATCAGTGATTCTAATATTAAAGGCAAATTTTACTTACTAGTTACAGCAATGTTGATCTCGCCTGTCCTTGGAGTCAGCTCTCCATCCTGCGGAAATTGTGATACACCAGAAGTACGTAGGGGCTCAAGTGTGAGCGAGCTGTCACTGTTAAGGTCACCAAGAACTGATCCCCTGTTACCTAGCTGGCCTCTGGTTAGTCTTTCCATGTCAAAGGCCATATTGTCAGCACATGGTACATTTGTCTGAAAATAAGTATTGCCATATTAATGTATACCATTTTTATACTGTTAGCAAAATTATACATTCATGAGATAGCATCATGACATTTGAAACATAAATACCAACACCAAAGCAAATCCAAGCAAATCCCATCCATTAAGAACTTGGTTCAAAATATTATCAAATTGAGCACCTCCCCCCAATGTTTTATTCCCAGCTATGTGCATGTGTTTCTTCATTATATAATCTATTAATTAAACTATTTTATAGCTCACAAACCCGGTAGTATATAAACAAAATAACCAATGAAGTAGGTGGCATTGCATTCCCTTCAAGTTTATTCAGAATCTCCCACTCCCCAAAAAGAGATAGACATCTTCCAAGTGGAGTTATGCTTTAATTTGGTGATGTCATAAAGTTACAAAGGAAAGAAATTCAGCCCATATTTTTTAATCAGCCTAATATAAATATTTTTCATGGGTGCATTAATGAAGGTTGCCTTGATTTCTACCACCAACAAACCCAGAAATAATAAATAGATCTTTAAACTTAGTAAGGAAATTGGATTAAAATCTGCTTTTTAATGGATTAATCTAGTTAAAATATCTTTTAATAGGACAAATTTGCTTTGTGAAATAGGTATGTCACAGAAGACAGCAATTACTTATGGGTTACTTTATGTCAAGATAATCAAGTTTTATTTTGACTTTTTCATGACTAAGGGTTTTGGCAGAAAATGTCAAGCTGTAACTAATAAAAACAATCCTGAATAATGAAAGGTTTTTTTGAGTTATTAGTTTCAAATGAACTGTTGGGATAGCATGGTTGTCTCATGCAATCAACTAACGCATCTTGGAACTTGTCTCTTGTTAGATGAATTTGTGATTTGAGGTATTTTAGAATGCATACTTCAACAGTATTAACTGTTTCTGTAAAGCTTCAACTCACCACAATTCCCAAGGCCTTCAAAATATTCAGTTTACACATAGGACAGGTACAGTGCTCACTTAGCCATGGGTCTACACAGGTTTTATGAAAAACATGCCTAAAAATAAATGGGAATAATTGTAAACCATCAATATATGGCAGAGGTTTTAATATTATTGATTAGCATCCTGAATAATTTGCCTGGGAGTTTTAATAAACTGACATTTGTACTTTTAACTATATTACCATTTCCTTAGTATATACATTATAATTGAAACTTATGCATTGCATATTTCAAATATATTTTTTGCTTCTATTGTTATTTTTCCTGAAAGAAAAAAGTAAACATGAAGAAAGAAATGAGCTAATATCTGGCTGTATAAGGCTTATTAATGAAAAATATCTCACAGCTGTATATACAAGTTGCTCCTATTATACTGCCCAGAGTATGTATGGTAATATATAAAAATTCATTTGGCTCTTATATTTTTTCTGCCTTATCTTTAGGCAATAATCCCATTATTAGATTGCCTCATTCAATTTCTTTCTTTCTTACTCTCTCACTCAAACTTAGCAGTGAGGAACCACGTGACATAAATTTAGAAAAAGTACGCTTTTTCCTGGAGCTTTATCTACAATAATTCTGTAGATATCTATTTGCATTATTTTTGGAAATGATTTTAAGATTGTTATTAAGCAATTGGCAACACTGAAGTGCAGTATTTTAATCATTTAAATGCCATCTCACAATGGCAATTGTGATCCAATCAGAAGGTACCATGGAGTTTCACTTAAAGAAAAACTGTGTATCTATGGCACACCAGTTGTTGAAGACATTGCATATATCCTTTGGGATTGCAAACTATATTCTGCAGAAAGGACCGTTTACTTAGATTCTTATTTAAAAACTAAAAAAAAAAAAGCCTGGGGCACCCACAAGAAATGGTCTTACATTTTGCAGGAAATGAACCTGTATATCATTAGAAAGAATTCTTTAATTTAACGAAAATAAAGCCAAAGGCCAAGAAAAGAAACTAGTGCAAACGGATTTAAAATATCCTGTTCGCATTTAATCTATTAGCAGTTAAAAGTCAGCCATCTAAACGCAAGACTGTATTAGTAAAGTATATTTGCTATTGTAAACTATTGCAGCTTTTGGGGTACACAGGACTATTTTTGCATGACTTATATGGGAAAATTAGCTCCTTTTACTCTTTATTATTTTATTATTATTTATTTAAATGTATTGGCTGCCTAACTCTAGTGGACTGTGGGTGGTGTACCAAAGTAGAACCCCCCCCATAAAAATAACTACTCTAAATATTAATAAATATTAATATTAATATAAGATAGAAGGAAGAACTACCTAAGAATGAAAAAGAAATGTAAAAAACAAATTATTATTATTATCTGGATAATAATAATAATTTTATTATCTGGATAAAATAGTAAATCTTTTACTAAATGTTTTGCATGTTTTGACAAGTCCCTATAAAGTTGAAAGCTCAAGCCTAACAGTAAATTGAGACTGGAATAACAATGGAAGGAATGATATATGAAAGATGACCTCAAACTTGAACAGGATATATATAAAGAGCTGTACTAATAAAGGAGAGTATTTGTAGCTCAGGTTTGAAATGGGGGGGGGGGATCCTTGGTGTTCTCTGAGTTTGCTTGTTTTCTTGCAGAAGTTTCATTACCCAAACTAGGTAACATCATCAGTGCACTGATGAAAATAGTCATGCTCATCAGAAAGAAAATCATAATTAAGGCCCCCTAAGCCCAGGATTTCTAATGACAGGAGTTGCAAAACAATTTTAAAATGCAATTAATTTATTTTGAAGAATAAACCAAACATCAAGAGACACTATTGGCTTACTTGCATGGTAGAATGCGTACAACATCGTTTTGCTTATAGCTTTCAATACAAACAGCGCAGTGATCAAAGTCTGGATCTGTTTCCTAAAATGAACAGAGTGAAAATTCCAGTAAGATCTATCTACAGCAGAATACTTTTAGCAAGCAGCCAAAGGGCTAGAATAGTTTTAGCCCTATGTTTATTTACTTACAAGATTTCTATCCCACCTTTCTTCCAGAAGCTCAAGGGAGCTTATTTTAGAATCTCTCATTTTTATCCCTGTGTCAGATTTTGCCAGGCATAATTACAAAGTGTTTAGAAACCCAGTTTCACATACAGTAGCAGAAGAAGTTTCATAGCCTTTAACATGGCTAGGTTAGAGTCTTTACTGCAAGTATGAAAAAAGTCTTACACATGCAGAAAATCTGTTTAAGGGAGAACATAGCATCAAGCTCTGTATGCATAAATCAGCCTCAAGGTTTAAATCTGAGACCTTTTTCTTCCTCCTTTTTGAAACCTGAGCATCAGCAACTACACATTTCAGGTTTACATATCAGTTTTGTTTTGCCTGAAATTGCTGAGTCCTGCCTACTTCAGTTTTTCCATCCTGAGAGCCAGAATACAACATGCAGAGATCATAAAAATAAATCATACAATGATGAATTTATTTAATGCAACCTGAATTAACTGTCATCTTAATATTAAAAGGAAGTATTTCTCACACAAAACTGAAACATTAGTTGCAGACCCCTTATGAAAGTTCCAGTGATGCAACTACTGCAGTGGTAAAAAGGAACACATGTCCTTAAAAGCTGGGTTGTTCAAATAAATATCTTCCTGTTGCCCAATTCTGTATAACCTTAAATGTCTTTTCTGAGTTGCAAAATTTATCAGTAGGACTGTACAAATATTAGGACTCAAGAAAGGGTTTCCCATTTAACATATAAACAAACTGCTTGGTTTATATGTTAAATGGGAAACTCTTTCTTTGACAAACTAACAGCTATGTACTGCCCACATCAATCTGGCAATCATGTTTCTAAACCATGATCATTTTATGATTTTAGAACCTTTATTTTAGTTTATAATCTTCAATTGTGGCATACATAATGTGTATACTTTTTCCACTTAATATAAGAACAAAGCTCCTTTGTTCTTATATTATATTAAATACTATAAAATTAGCAATCTCAGTGTTGCAAATAGACAACAACGATTTCATACTCTGAATCTTGGTTGTTAATACTGATGAATGGCAGATACATTCTATCTACCAACAATAAGCATATCTGCTGCTGCATTATAATCTTGATGTCTTTTTATCGTGGATTTATACCTCTCTGTTAAGAGAATTCTAAAACATGCATTAGCACATTTTTGCTATTAAATTTTCTCTTTATAAAGGGGCTATAGGACAATAAAGTTTGTGACAATTCAACAACAAAATCTAGAACTGATTTGCATACACAGAGAAGCCTTTTTTATTTATTTTTCCAGAAAAATCGCATTGGATCAAAACCTGATTGGTATATTTCCTGATAATCTCTTGGCAATCTTGTACATGATACATAAAGCATTGAGGCATTATAAAAGGCAATCAGTAAATAAAAATAATGAATGTTAATAAAGTATAAAACAGTAAGTCAATATCAATTACATAAAAATTATTTCAAAATTAGTTTAATCATGTATGATTTTTGTGCCCCCTTTCCTTCAGGAATGCAAGGGGTTATACAAGGCACTTGGTGAACTTCCATGGCTGAGGATAAACTTGAACCTGACTCTCTCAAATGCCAGGCTAATGCCTTAATCACTATACAACTTTGCTCCCACAAATCAGCAAGAGCAAATGGGGTTATGAAAACTAAAAATAATCTTTCTGGCTGTAAAGGACGCAACTAAGGCAATAGGCTAGGAAAAATATACATATGTATATTTATATACATAAATATACATATACATAGAGGAGATGTACTGACAATAGCCCTGTGAATAATTACTGAAAACAAAAAACGGACCAATCACTGTAGTGAGGTAAATAAATTGGAAAGAAAAAGACATAGCCAAAGGCTAATGACAGATTTTCTAATAAAGTAACAGAGTGATACCTTATCACCTTTCTTTACAGTTCTTGCTGTTAGTTTACCAACAGCTTTTTTGGCAGCATCTCCAAGACGACGCTTTGAAAAAAAGAGAAACAACAGAGTGATTAAGTATTACAAAAATTGCACTTCTTACATTTGCTTTGATGCTTAGTCTAGATGGTACTTTACAATATTTCACTTATTCTACCTATCCATCCACATGCAGAGACACAATCTGGGGGATCTGGGAATAGTATATGCACAAGGATATTTTGGTAATTAAAATCTGTTTAACCAAAAACATGAATCTCCTATTTTATGTAATCCAAATTATAAGAAATGTAGACTGCGGTCTGCAACATAGTCCCCAATATGCTATTTAAATACTAGTCCAAGGGAAAGTCCAGTTAGTCTACTACTATAGATAATGAAGAATCATGTAATATACTTGAAACAAAAAAGTTGAAAAAGTTGGGAGGAGAATGAGCATTTGTTGTTATTTAGCTTGTGATATAAACAGTTCCTTGCTTCATTTAGGTCTAATCTTTCTGTGAAGAACTTTTCAACCTGTCAAATCTTTCTCTAAAATCTTTCCCTTAAAAAAAATTAAACCCTTTTATCCCAGTTTTACTAATATTTACATTTTAGTATTTGCACTGTTGTATCTAGCTTATTACTGGGATTTTTTTTTATGCCATGTCAATCTGGTCCTAGTTAGTTATGGTTTACATGTATTCCATATAAGTAGTATTTTTAAATCTGTGAACCTCAGCTGAAGGAATTATTTTGTGTGACCATTACATGCATTGTGTTTGTGTGCATCAGCTACATGCAAGCAGAGCAGTAACAACTGTTTTCTCCTTTAAAACAGCTAAACATTTTCAACTGTTCTTTAGCTGTTGCTATTTCTTCATGAAAGTTTAATAAGACAAGCTTTTTAAACCACATAAAATTTTCATTAAGTTTCTTCAACCTTCATAAAATACTGGAGAAAGAAAAGGTCTTAAGTTTTTAACCTACAGAATAGCTATTTGATATGGATATCTCAAATGCAGAATGCTGTCTATATGGGATCACTGCATTCCAAGTGCTTACATGCTACATTTTTCAAATGGCAAAGAGATGAGAATGGGCGTTGGTTCTTACTTGATACGCCTTTTCTCTGACTGTCGGGCACGGCAGTCAGGATGGGTGGAGACCTGGTTGAGTCGCTATTGGACCGGGTCTGCTGAAAAAACCAGGAAGTCCCTCCTCCTGACTGTGGCTGTCAGTTTGAGACGAGGGAGTATAAGCAGGAAGACGTGTCTAGGGAAAGAGAACAAACAGAGTTAGGAGAACCCGCCCCCTCCCAAATAAGCTCGTGCCGGGACCGGCCTCCACAATAAGGGTGGGGCTGACTGCCGTGCCCGACAGTCAGAGAAGAGGCATATCAGGTAAGAACCAACGCCCATTCTCCTCCAGTCGGGCACGGCAGTCAGGATGGGACATACCAGAGCCAGGTGTCCGGACGGGAGGGAGGAGGCCGATCCCGAGATTAGGAGGCTGCGTGGACCCCTTGAAGGACTCTCTGGCCAAAGGCTGCATCCGTCAACGCAAACTTGTCCAAGCGATAGTAGCGGACAAAGGGAGAAGGCGATGTCCAGGCTGCCGCCCGACAAATCTCTTCGATGGAGGCTCTGGTGGACCACGCCGCCGAAGTGGCTGCGCTCTTCGTCGAATGGGCTGTTATATTGCGAGGTACCAGAAGATCAGAGGCTTCATACGCCGCCGAAATGCACGCTCGGATCCATCGCCCCAAGGTGGTAGAAGAAACTTTCAATCCCAGAGAAGCTGGTAAAAAGGATACGAAAAGGGCGTCCGAGCGTCGGAAGGTCGCCGTGCGGGAAATATAGATCTTCACAGCGCGGCGGATGTCAAGGGTATGCCATCGCCTTTCAAGGGGATGACGAGGATCAGGACAGAAGTTAGGGAGCACCACTTCTTGGGCTCGGTGGAAAATCGTATTTACTTTCGGGATGAAAGAGGGGTCCAATCTTAGGACCACCTGATCCTGGTGGAAGATACAGAGCTCCTTATGAATGGACAGCGCCGCCATTTCAGAAATCCGGTGTGCGGAGGTAACCGCCACGAGGAAGGCCACTTTGAAAGAGAGGTATTTCAAGGAAACGTCCCTTAAGGGCTCAAAGGGCAGGTCAGTAAGAGCCTGGAGAACCTTAGGCAAATCCCAAGAAGGGTAGCGATGGACTGCAGGCGGACGGATATTGGTAGCGCCGCGCAGAAACTGGCGAATCAGTGGGTTCCGAGACATTGGGTCCGTAGAGGAGCTGGACAAGACTGTGGACAGGGCGGCCACCTGGCGCCGAAGCGTGTTAGGCGAAAGGCCGGAGACAAACCCATCCTGCAGGAACTCAATGACCAGAAGAACTGAGGCTGATGTAGGAGAGATAAGCCGTCGTTTACACCAAAGAGAGAAGGCTCGCCAGGTAGCGTCATAAATTCGTGTGGTCGACGCCCGCCCTGAGGCCTGGATAGTCGAAATGGCGCCTGCCGAAAGGGGAAGCCTGCTCATAAACTCCCGCTCAATCGCCACGCGGTGAAATAGTACCAGTGCGGATCCGGATGCTCCAGTTGTCCCTGGATGAGGACCATCTGATCGTCCGGTATCCGCCAGGGGGGCATCACCGACAGAGATCTGAGATCTGTGAACCAAGGGTGCCGGTTCCAAGATGGGGCAATGAGAATCATCTCCGCTCACTCCTGCAGTAGTTTCCGTACCACTCTGGGTACCAGGTTGACCAGTGGGAAGGCATATAGAAGCTGATTGGTCGGCCAAGGACTCCGTAGGGCATCCACCGCCTCTGCCCCGGGACAAGGGAACCTGGTGAAGAACCGTGGCAGCTGGTGATTGGTAGCACTGGCGAATAGGTCCACTGTTGGACTCCCGAAGCGGCGGACTACCTCCTGAAACAGAAATGGACCATTCTGCGTCGTCGATCGGAGACCGACTGAGAGAGTCGGCTGTGCGATTTAGAACTCTGGAGATGTGAGCTGCTTGAATTGATGCCAAGTGATTCTCTGCCCAGAGGCCCAAACGCCTCGCTTCTCATCAGGGACCTGGAACGAGTCCCCCCGAGACGGTTCACATGCGCTTTGGCCGTTACATTGTCGGTTAGAATTAAGACATCTCGATGCACTACCTGAGGCTCGAAGGCCTTTAGAGCGAAGAAGATGGCCCGCAGTTCTAGCACATTGATGTTCATCCGCTGCTCGTGTGCTGTCCATTGGCCCTGAGCTAGGAGAGGACCCAGATGAGCACCCCAGCCCGACAAGCTGGCATCTGTTGTCAGTTGTAGACGGTACGGTTCTCGAAACTTGGTCCCCTTTAGCAGAGCATCTGATGTCCACCAGGACAGAGACCGGATCACCGAAGGGGGAAGGACCAGTCTCGTGGATGAGGTGTCCCTGTGTGAGCGCTGAAAGGGTAGCAGTAGCCATTGTAAGTCCCTGCTGTGTAAACGGGCCCAAGGGACTATCCCAAAGGTAGAAACCATCTTGCCAAGAAGGCGAGACAAGGCCAGCAGGGAAGAAGACCCTTGGTTCTGTACCCGGCCAGCAAACTCTCTGAGGCTGTCAATTCGGTCAGGAGATAAAAACACCTCCGATGACAAGGTATCAATTACTGCCCCCAGGTGAAGAATCCGGGTAGAAGGGGTTAAGTGGCTCTTAGCCAAATTGACCGAGAACCCATGATTCTGGAGAATCTGAAGGGTCCTAGTTAGGTCAGACTGTGCTTGGTGCAAAGATCTTGATAAGATCAAAACATCATCTAGATAAAAGGACACTCTAATTGGAAGTGTGGCTACATAACCCATAAGGGCCGCCATTATTTTGGTAAAGGTCCTTGGGGCCGAGGATAAACCAAAGGGAAGGGCACGATACTGGTAATGTTTGTTGTTATAACAAAATCTGAGGAATTTACGGTGTTCGGGAAGGATGGGAACGTGGAGGTAGGCCTCAGTTAAGTCCACGGAAGATAAAAAATCCCCTTCCCGAATTGAAAGCAAAATGGTTTGTAGGGAATGCATCTTGAACCGGCGGTAGGTTATGTGCCGGTTCAAGGACTTCAAATCAAGGATAGGACGCCAGTCCCCTGAAGACTTTTGTACTAAAAAGAGCCTAGAGTAAAACCCTAGGCCAAATTCGGTGGGGGACACTGGTTCGACGGCTCTTATAGCTAACAAGTGATGGATAGCCGTCTCCACTTGGGACCTCTTGGTGGCATTAAGGGAAACTGGACAACGAATAAACCTATTAGGGGGAACTAGATAAAAATTCCAGGGAAAGGCTGAATTAAATGGTATTCTTTACCCACTCATCAGAGACAGTATCCTCCCAAGCCTGGGAGAAAAGGGTTAGACGACCCCCAAGCTGTTTGGGTGAAGAACTGCTAGCGAGACCGTCGAAAGGGACGGCCCCTACCACCCCTCTGGCCTCTTCTGGGGGGATATCGAGGGCCTTGTCTGACCTGATTATCGTGATGGAAGTTCCCACGCTGTTGGAAGGGACGCTGGGAACTCTGCTGGAAATAGCCGGAGTCAGATCCTCGAAAGGATTGCATCTGAAAGGAGCCCAACGAACGACCATCTGACCTGCGGGAAATGGCTGGCAATATCTTCCGGTGATCTCTGGTCTCAATTAAGAGGGGCTCCAGAGCAGGCCCAAAAAGCTTGTCACTCGAATATGGCGATGAAGCCAGGCGCCACTTACTACGAACATCGGCTTGCCAATAGTTCAACCAAAGGAGACACCGAGAAGTGACTGAGGAGCCAATGGCCTTGGCAGAAAATCTGGCTGCAGACAGAGTGGCGTCCGCAGAGTACTCCACCGCTGCCAATATTTTGTTAATATTTTGGTGTGTTCTCACCTCAGCTGAAGGGATACGTCCCTGTAACTGCTTCAACCAGAGGATCGACGCCCGGTTAAAAAACGATGCAGCAGAGGGAGCCTGTACTGACCAGGCTGCGGCCTGGTGGCCTTTGATGAGGGTACGTTCCGCCTTTCTCTCCTCTGGGCGCAGGGACTCCTCTGCGGGACCC